GACAGTTGCAAATCGGCCTTAGAAGCGGAACTATTGACCACATCTTCACACTTCGTCAAATTCTAGAACATAGACACTCTTTTCTTAGACCCACCATTTCTATCTTCCTCGATCTAAAAGCGGCTTCCAACTCAGTCGACCGCTCTAAACTCTGGTGCTGCCTTTCTCTGAAGGGAGTGCCCGAGAAGTTTATTTCAATATTACAATCCCTCTACAATAATAGTCGAAGCCGAGTTCGAGCTTACGGCACTTTTTCACCCGAGTTCACCACGGAAAGTGGTGTTCGACAGGGTTGCCCTCTCTCNCGTGCAGGGATAGCGGTATCGATTTACTTCCGGGTGGCAGACTGTCTGATCTAGAGTATGCAGACGACATTGTGCTGCTAAGTGATGATCCAGGTAAGTTTCAAGCTTTTCTGGATAGTTTGAGTGCTAGTGTTGCCATGTTCGGTATGCGTTTTGCACCTTCAAAGTGTAAAATGCTACTACAAGATTGGGTTGATCCAGCACCCAGTCTCACCCTAACTGTGGAAGTAGTAGAGGAAGTAGACAATTTTTGCCATCTGGGTAGCTATATCTCTCTCACCCGGCGGACGCATCACAGATGAAGTGTCGGCGCGCATACAAAAGGTTCGATTGGCATTTGCCAACTTGAGACATTTGTGGCGCCGTCGTGACATCCGGCTATTTGTGAAGGGTCGAGTGTATGCTGCAGCAGTTCGGCCAGTCCTGCTCTACGGTGCAGAGACTTGGCCACTCAGGATAAAAATAGATTGGGGGTATTCAAACAGCGCTGTCTACGTAGCATTGCACGTGTCTGGTGAGGTAACCGGATGAGCAATGCTGAGGTTAGGTGTAGAGTTTTAGGTAGTCGCGATCGTCCACTAAAGCAAGTGATCGACCTCCATAGGTTACGCTGGTTGGGACATGTGTTACGTATGTCTCCAGATAGGTTGTCGCGGCGAACGATGTTTGCCAAGGCTGGTAGCGATTGGAAAAAGATCATGGGTGGTCAAACTAAGACCTGGTATGAAGGTGTGAAAACCCTAACCAGGAGACTAGGTCACATAGGCCCCGTTAGGCTCCCTGTCTGGGGACCTCGGGATGATGGTCACCGATGGTTAGCTACACTGAGTGATATGGCTGGGTGTCGCAAACAGTGGCGCTCGTGCATCCACTCTTTATTCTCCTAACATCACTCTATATGAATTCTCCACCTTCCGCTTGTGTTTGCTTAGACATTCCAATCTTCATTCTGCTCTTTTATCCAAATGGGCAACCAAAAGACAGCAACCAAAACCGGCGCACGAAAGTGCATGGTAATGGTTGTTAAAACTGAAACTGAAAACCAGTGCTTCCGAGCTTTTCAGTTCACGCATCATTTGCTATATACACGACGAATTCCTAAGTGAATGTGTTATAACCCGTAACCATACATTTGTACCTCATCCGTAGGAGAAGACAATGATAAGGGACCGTTGAAAATCACTGTTTGATGCTCACTGTTTGTTTTACAATTTTAAGATTGATGATATTCTTAACGGTAATTGTTGTGGATTCCCCGCCCCCCTCCCTCATACAACAATTTGTTTTACGAATTTATCTTTCTCTTCGAACACAGTATCTGTTTTGTTCATGGTCTCCATCTGTATAACGTTGTGTGGTAACATGAATATGGACCCATTAAATTGAGTTTATTCTTTTAACACCAGAGGAAGCGTTTTCCGAGAATTTTACTCTGTTCGTTCATCGGACATGGCATACTCTGGAGCATCAGAAACGTTTTCTACCCCTAATAACTTACCAGTCATAGTGAAAATACCAACCAGTAACCCGATATTCCGACCGGCCAACATGACATCCTCTGTTTCGGTCACATTTTCACCATTCTTTCGTGATTTGCGTGCTGCCCAGAATCCGACAAGCAGGATCAGCAGATAGAAAATGATGATCGCCACCAGACCGGGAATGTATAACATTCTGATTTCTGTTGCACTCGACAGTTGCGGTGTGTCTCACCGAAGCAGCAGGCGTGCGAATAGCCCCCGCGCAATATCAATTGCACACTGCGCGGTGGGACGGGACGGGACGGGACGGGGAGGGTTAGGGCCCCCCAAAAGGGCTTCAAATGCGGTCAAACGAGACAATTCCGGTTTGCAGATTCCGAACACCGGGGTTTGGTCCTCGCGGTTGGGAGTTTGGAATGGGGTTCGTGCAACTGGAACGGGGAATAGTGCGGTGGTGGTGGTGGTGATTAGTTGATTGGTATTGTGCCCCGTTGTACTGTATCACGTGACTAGTGCAAGTTATTTAGGAGATAAGGATTAACAAAGACATATCACACCAAACGTCTATATATTACATGAATAATTCACAGAAATCATAGGCATAACTAATTGTCTAGTTGTACGATGTAGTTCATCTTTTACTTTTACTCCTCCTCCTCTCTTAGCCTCACTGTTGTTGATAAATACACCTGCTAGATAAGGCCCAGGAGGAATCCCTGTGCACATTCGTACCAGTTAGAACAGGTCAAAGCTTGGATCACTCGGAGCACTCGAAGCGAAGATTTTCTGTTGAAGAATCTTCTTCAAAGTTATCGGTCGATCAGAACGTTTTGACAATTGGCGCACATCTGTGGGAGTCCACGAGAAGGGAGTAATGGTAATATTGTCATATATCTACGAAAAGCCCCAGAATCTTGTTGTTGAGCTAAGTATATTAAAATAACCGGGGAGCAATAGAGTAGTGATATCGGGGAAACTCATGAATTGTCAAGTTATAGGTTATAAGGAGCAAACTTTTATTTATAGTATCAAGCTTGGATTAACTCATTCGATTGTTCAGAGGCACCAGACACTCTTGATGGTCTTCGGTGTGGGTTTCACTCCTTGAGAGCTCATTAATTCCCCACGAGACAATGCATTCAAATGTGATGGAACTGTTTGTGATCACCGAAGAAGAGCACTGGACAGCTGTTTCGTCCTGTTTGGGACTCGTCAACAGTGCGTACTTTTTGTGTCCCTGTCAGGACTCAAACCGCGATCAGTGCCTGGTGCCGCTGAACAATCGAATGGGCTAATCCAAGCTTGATACTCTAAATTGATTAAGCTATTCGCAATAGGTGATGATCGTCGACCATGTAGCTCAGGGTCAAGGGTTTGAAGTTCCCACCCGACTGATCGCGGTTCGACTCCTGACAGGGACGCCAAAAGTACGCACTGCTGACGAGTCCCAAACAGGATGAAAGAGCTGTTTACTGCGCTTTGTCGGTTATCATAAACTTCATCCCACAGACTTTGTTCTGGTCATGTGGAGAGATTAGCAATCCAACCATCTAGCACGTTGCTTCACTCACACATGTTGCTATGAGTCTGCGCTATGAAATCATAGCTCCTCAAAGAATTTGCTGTATACTTGGCTAAACAGTGATAAAATTGTCTATCTGTCTGTCTGTCTGTCTGTCTGTCTGTCTGTCTATTCGCTTCGGGGTTTTCAGCAAACATCGTGTCATCATAAACATTTCCATCGCATGTAAAAAACAAATTGTTATTCATCGATGTATACAGTCCTTAGTCTGTGCAAGCTCATCCTAATTCGGGAACCACTCCAGTTAACAAATGTCTTATGACGAATAGAATGGAGGACTGCTTGATCGGCGATTGCCGAACAAGTGAGGCTTTATCATTCTCAATATTCTGTCATTTAGCTCCAAACATTTATTTATTTTCTGGTTGCAATAAACGCCGTTAGCTTGAAACCAATCCCCCCTCTATCGAAAGTCCTCAGAATTCGATCGGGGCAACCAAGTTATTTTGGTTTCGATAATCCAGGCATCAGTCGAAAGTGTACCTGAAGACGCAATCCATTTTTTATTCGCATCGGCATCAGTCAAGAATGGTTT